CGTGGTCCAAGTTCCAGACCTGTGGCTTGAAACTCACACTGGGCACATGTGCCTATGTGCCCAAAACCCTAAGAGGAGAATGAAGAAGGGATTGTGGTATAGCCATTTCCCCAGGGGGTGATTTCTTTATCTCTTTCTCCCTGTCTCCAGTAAGCACATGTGCCCTATGGCAAAAACCTAAAAAAAAAAAAAAATAGATAGATAGATAGATAGATAGATAGATAGATAGACAGACAGATAGATAGACAGACAGACCGACCGACCGACCTATGAGCATTCTAAGAATGCTCCATTCAAAAGAAACTCTTTACTTGGCTTGTAGGATGGATGCCTTTCTTTGTTTCTTACCTCACTGGTGATTCTTGTCTATCATCTCATTCTTTATATCAGTGCTATTCTGTAGAAATGTAATGCAAACCACATATATAATTTGAAATATTATAGTAGTTGTGGATAAAATAAATTTAATAACATTTCATTTAATGCAATATATCTAAAATAACATGTGAGTTTAAAGTAATAGTAGTTAATATTGCCAATAAAAATTGACTTAAAAATTTTGAGATAATTTGCATTCTTTTTTTGTACTAAATATTCTGGATCTGGTATGTAATTTACACTTGCAATACATCTCAGTTTGAACCAGCTACATTTCAGGTGCTAAATAGTGGGCACTGTCAGTGTCTTCCGTATTGACATGGCTCAGGCTCCATTTCACACCTCTTCTTTATATTTACTCTCTTGATGATCTCATGGAATTTCATGTTCTCAAATTCTGTCTCTCCAGATAAAGACCAAACTTGTATACTCAACCTAGACCTACTCTTTGTATACTCAACCTAGACCTACTCCCTGAACCTCACATTCATATACGCTACAACCTGTTTTACATGTCTACATGGATGTCTTTGAAACTGAACATTTTCAAAACTGAGCTGCTGATTTTCTCTTTGCCCTCAACTTTTTCTTCGTGTAGTCGTCTCAATCTCAGCAAATTGGAACTTCTCCATTCTTCTAGCCATGTAGACGAGGAGCGTTGGAATTATCCTTGATTCTTCTCTTTCTCTCATACCACACATCTAAATCCTCAGGAAGTCTAGTGAACTGAAGATGAGCAGACTACAGCCTGCAGGCCAACCCAGCCTGCTGCCTGTGTGTTTTATGGCTGTTGATGGTTTTTGCATTTTTAAATGGTTATACTCAAATGGCTACATAAGTACTTGAATAATATCTTACATTTTATCAGTTGGCTGTCAAAATATAAAATTGGCCTTTTAAGAAAAAGTTTGCCTAGCTCAGATTCATGCTATTTATTCTTTTAATTAACATGTGTGAAGTACTGTGGCAAGTGCTGGACAGAAAATGGCAGGATTATTTGTGCTGTGCTGGTTGAGGATAGAGAATCTAAGAGCTTCTTGCTTAAATGCTAGCTTCTTGTAGCCTCACACCTCTACCTTCAAAGGTATATGATATCTTTAATTCCTGAATGTTTTCTTTGCCCTTGCTTTTTATTTGCATTTGTTTAGCTTTCTCACTCATGTAAGTTTCTTATCTTTGTACCTTTACTTTCTATCTTCCAAAAGTTGTTTTATGTGTTTTCCATTCTCTTTGTCCCTTTGGGTTTAAATTTTTAATTTAATTTTAGTAAAGAGGTATACTAGAAATAACCACATTTAGCCACAAGTCCAACATTTTTTTTCCTATTATCTACTTTGATAAAATTCAAAATCCTTGAGAGTATCTGTTCACAATCTGGCCCCAAGTTCGTTGCTTATCTTTCATTCTCCCCTGGCATATTGCAGTTCAGCTGGTTGTGACTATGTTATTCTCTTTAATTATTTCATATTATGGTAATTCCGCATTATCTTTCTCGCTCTTATGCTTTTTCTTTTCCCCTTGTCCTTTCAGAGAAAAGTCCTTACCTTTTATTTGGGTGGGGGGAGGATTTTTCGGTATAGGGCACATGCACTCACTAGAGAGAGAGACAGAAAGTGAGAAATCACCCCACGGGGGGAGACTACGCAGCCATCCCTTCTCTATTTTCTCAGGATCTTGGGCGTGCACGCACACGCGCCTGGCATGAGGTTTAAGTTGCTATGTCTGGGATTTGAACTACAGATGACTACATGGGAGTCTAGCAATGTAACCATTATGCCATCTCCTAATCCCAAGTCCTACTTATCTTTAAATGTGGGTTCTACTCTCCTGACTTGGCCAGATGAGTTTTAGTTTTCTGCTCTACTCTTCCTTAGTATGTTCTCTTATAGCCAGAATCTCTGTATACTGGTCTTTTCTTCAGTAATAGATTATTATTGGCTTATAAATGTGTTTTAATGTCATTCATTTGAAAACAAAATACCATAGTTGTCTTGATCCTATGGTTTCTTGTGTCTACAATCCTGTTTCTCTGCTTTCTTCCACCAAAAACTCCTTGAATGAGTTATTACTATGTGCTTATTTTACTTTGTCTTTCAGTCTTCTCTTTCCTACTCCAAATGGTCATTCTTCATGACTACTACAGAGAAACTGGTAGTTTTCCATTTGGCTAATGCTCTCACTGCATCCTCTCCAGCCTGTAACATCATTAGACCCGTTAGGCTCATCATTAGCCACTCCGAAATACTTTTATTTTTCTCTTTGCTTTCTTAGTACCGCAGTCTCTTGGATTTCTTTCTACCTCACTGGTTAGGATAGCTCCTGTGCTTGCATCTTTAGTTGCTGTAGTGTATCTGGGCTCCATCTGTTGATTTCCTAGGTTGGTGGCCTTTAATACCAACTGTCAGTATATGCTGATGATATCCACATTTACAACTCCAGTCCCACTTTCTTCCCTAACTTGTAGACTCAAGCAAGTGCCTTCCCAAAATCTTCGCTTGGGTGACTCATGGAATTGCAAACTTGGTATAACTTGTTTCTTTCCTTAAACCTACACCTTATAAAGTCTGCCCCTTCATAGGAAATGGTGCCATCATTTGTCATGTTCTCCAACCAAAAATGTAAAAATGATGCCTAATTGTGTAGTTTACCTCATACCCATGTTTAGTTCATCAGCATATTATATTGGCTCTACCTTTCAAATATATCCCGATTTCAACAACTTTTACTCCTCTCACTGTAACAGTCCCAGTCTAAATCACCATCAGCTCCTGCTCAGATTATTAGATATATCTACTAGTCTCCTCTCCTTAGTTTCACTGTGATTTTTGTCCTTCCCTTCTTAGTGCTTCAAGAGTATTTTTTCCCAACTTAGTGAGAAAATATCCCCTCGGGAGATGGCTGTATCTTCCGCTCAGGAGTTTGGGTACGTGCACACACACATGTGCCCAGCATGTTTCTTTTTTTTTTCTTTCTTTTTTTTTTTTTTTTTTTTGAGTGTGTTTTGTTATAGGGCACGTGCGTTCGCCAGACACAGACAGAAAGCGAGAAATCACCCCCCAGAGGGGATGGCCATGCCACAATCCCTTCTCCTCCATTCTCCTCTCAGGATCATGGACATGCACACACATGTGCCCGGCGTGAGTTTAAGCCACCCTGTCCGGGACTCAAACTGCAGTCAACTAGGTGGGAGTCCAGCGACATAGCCATTACGCTAACTGCTGGTCCCCCCAGCATGTTTCTTAAGCCTCTAGATTCAGGACTTGAACCACACAGTTGACCACGTGGGATCCAGTCACCTTAACTACCTTGCCACCAGCTGGCCCAAGAGTGATTTTTTAGTGGTAGCAGTCTGTTTATGTGACTCTCAGTTCTCCAGGGACTGAGATAAGTTCTTGTTATGAGGCTTATATTTGTTAAGGAGAGAGAATTTGTGATACACTACCAGAAAGATAGTGATTTTTTCTTGGCAAATTAACAATTCACAAGGTAGGACTTAGAGGTATTTTTTTTTTGTCTACACAGTGTTGACCAACCTAGTTTTTTGTTTTGTTTTGTTTTGTTTTTGTTTTGTTTTTAATGGAACATTTTTTACTGCACTGACCCTGTGCAAGGGGACTTCAAAAAGTTCAGGAAAATAGAAGTAAAGTGGGAGTGGTTTTTTAGTACAAAATTTTTTTTAAGGTCCATGCGTAGGTTTTCATGATAGGCATTTTCCATAAACTTTCTGAAAAGCCCTCTTATTCACGCCTGTTGTAGGATAAGCATGGAGACCAGTGATGATGTGTTTTTCATTGTTTGTTTTTCCCTTTTCTATTTATGAGCTATGGTACCTGGCATAAATTTAGTGTTCTCTGTTTTTGTTAGGTATCCAGAAATTTTGCTATAGTTCTGGCCACTTCTGTAACTACCTATTATTCCATTGTATTAAATTTCTATCTGCATTTCTATAGGGCTTATAAAATGGCAGAAACTCTCCTTTAGTGGGACTTAAGACTTCTTAATCAAATCATTCTGCTGATATTAAATTTGTTTTCTTCCAAGTGAGTCCAGCAACATAATTTATTAATGACTCAGCAGTAAAATAATTTGGAAAATGATTTTGAGAACAGGGTCTATGTATGAAGATTTCTTATTTATGGTGAGCTGAGTGTAAGACAAGGTTTTGCTGTTATTTTGAATAATTCTATTTTAGAAGTCTTAACCCTTTTAGTGTAATGGTATATAAAAAGGCCTTTAGTAATTTTTGAAGTATGTCTTTCTAAGTCTTGTAAGCCTATCATCAAATAGTAATTATTGTATTTCTTCTTTTCTAGGAATACTTTGTAAGTGGGAATTATTTGTGATATTTTCATAATCATTACCTTTATTTTACAAATAAACACACTAAACATAGATATATTTAAATTGCCTAAGGATAAGCACTTGAAAGTAAGGACAGAGACTGAATTAGACTATGGTAGTTTAAGTGTATGGCTATAATGAAACCTTGGATGTATAGTAGCAATATTTAGATAAGCAGGATGACATTCCATTTCTGTTTCCTTAACAAATAGTGATTTTGTAAGAGAAATAGAAAAGTTTGCTACTATTCATGAGCCTAATTATTCCCTTTTTTTGTGTAGGAAGATTTTCAGTCTATGACTTATGGATTTAAAATGGCTAACAGTGTGACAGATCTTCGAGTTACAGGTGAAACCATTTATTAAAACTTAATTCACGGGTTTTAAGTTTTGATTTGTTTCCTTTTTAAAATTATTGTTTTTCTTTCTAGGCATGCTAAAAGATGTGGAAGATGACATGCAAAGAAGAGTAAAGGTAAAGGTATATTTGTGTGTTTTTTTGGTGTAGGGTTTTTTTTTTTCTTCTAAATGCCTGTTTATCTTTGACTAATTACAATAGCTTGTATCGATAGACTCACCTATCTCTTTTTAATGCTATGCTTTCTTTTTTTTTTTTTTTAAAGATTTTTTGCTCTAGGGCATGCATGCTCACTGGAGAGACAGAGACAGAAAGTGAGAAATCATGCTCCCCCCACCCCCTATGGGGGTGTGTGGCCATGCCGCAATCCCTTCTCCATTCTCCTCTTGAGATTTTGGGCATGCATGACATGTGCATCACATGATGATCACATGAGTGTTAAGCCGCCGGTCAACCACATGGAAGTCCAGTGCCTTCCACCATTGTGCCTCTTGTGGCCCCACTATGCTCTTTTTTGTTGTTGTTGTTGTTGTTGTGTTTTTGGTAATGAATTTGAAGACTGTTAGAGGAGTTTCTTTTTTTTTTTTTTTTGGAGAGGTTTTTGCTATAGGGCGCGTGCGCTCACTAGACAGAGACATAGAGACAGAAAGCGAGAAATCCCCTAGGGGGGATGGCCACGCCACAATCCCTTCTCCTCCATTCTCCTCTTGGGATCTTGGGCACGCACGCACACACATGCGCCCGGTGTGAGTTTTAAGCCACCAGGTCTGGGACGTGAACCGTGGTCGTTTAAAGTATTGAAAATTTAACCTTTTCCATTCTTTTAATTTTTTATCAGTGTTTATGACTTTTGGTATACTATTTTAAGAATAGTATTTTCTCCCCACTAGAGTTTTCAGTTCCTCAAAGGTAAGGGCTACCTTCATCTTTGTATCCTTAATAGCTAGTACAGGGTCTGGAATGCAGTAGGCACATTTAGTAAACGAGGGCATTCTAAATCTGGTGTAAGCCTCCTAGATGATATCTCACAGCTGTATGACCATAATGATTTGCTTCTCATTGAGTTTAAAGGGAAAAAAGTTATATTTTCCTACTTTTTAATACTCATTAAGTTTGTTTGTCATTTTTAAAAAAAAATGTTTATAATTACATTCTCTTTTTTGATTTTTATAATTATTCAGTGAATTAAGCCATTAAATACACACAGTGCTCTACTTTTAGGTGAGGAAAGTACAGATTAGAGGAGTTTAATAACTTGTTTGAGTCTTACTTAAAGAACTCATGTCGTCAGATCTTGCTGTGGTACTGCCCTGGAATTTTGTCAAATAAAATAGTGAACCGTAATTCTTAAATTTTAACAAGATGTTTGGAATTTGAGTATAAAATAGGAATGAACATGCAAGCTTATTTTTATATGATTCTGTAAAGGTTAATATTTTTTCCTTAAAGGTTGGTTCTGAGAGCATAACAAATTTGAATTGATAGATCTTTTCCTAGGAAAGTAAAATATGCCTTTGCTTGTTGGTTTTTTTGCTTTTGCTGTTTCAATACTTGATTCTTTTATATGATGTTTATCATTTCTATCAAAATGAACTGTATATAGCAGGGAAATAATTGGACTCAGTTTTTTGTCTGTATTTTTCCTGAAAATAGATTTTTGTGTATACTTAATTTAATGCTTTAACTTACACTTTTATTACCTAATACTTCTCCAGGTTTGTGTTTGTTTTAATTTACCTTTTTTAAACTTTTAGAGTACTCGAAGTCGACAAGGAGAAGAAAGAGATCCAGAAGTTGAACTAGAAGTAATTGAACTTATTTTCTGGTAGATAATATCAGAGAAGTCTACCTCTTAATGTTGTAGTTTTATGAACTGCGTTATAATTTATGGAAGCCCTTTTTAAGGTATTTCTTTAAAAATTGGACACTGCAAGGGATTTTATTTCCCTTGTATTTATTTTGATAGAATGATAATACAGCTCTTTCAAATACATGATTTCAAAACTCTTCAATATTCCTGTGAGGTAGGAAGAAAAAAATGATCTTTTACAGATGATGCCTGAAGGCTTGGCAATGCTCAAGAACTTGGGTAGTATGAAAAGTTGCTGAACCTTTGTTGTGATCCTAAGTTATCTGACTGTGTAAAGCACTTTTTATCCAGTTCTTTTTTAAACATTAATTAGATCAGTTTTGAGACATTAGCGTAATTTTTGACTTAGGGGAAGAAAAAATTCAATCCTGTTGCTGTAGAGACTTGATGTTTTTATTTCAAAAGAATAGGCTTTGTTTTATGTATTCTACAAAGCTTATAAGTGAAGGTGTGTGTAATGTAATGAGTTACTAGCATTGAGTCTTAGGAGTTAAAATAAGATATTTATAAATGAAGGTCTTTGTATTGTTTAACTTCTAGTCCTTTCTTGTTTTTTAGCACCAACAATGTTTAGCAGTATTCAGCAGAGTGAAATTTACTCGTGTTTTACTGACAGTGCTTATAGCCTTTACTAAGAAAGAGGTAAGGGCGTTTACTATACTTGGAATTAAGTCTGAGCCTTTTCTGTTGAGGTGTTCCTGGTGTCGTATGTTCAGCACTCTACATTTGGTGCATTTACACTGGAGTAACCATGAGCAAAAGTTTCTCTCAAACAGTCACATGAATTTTACATTCTATTCCATAACATATCTAGGTCTATTGTTAATATAAATATTTTATATAACTTATTAATAAGTAAAACAATAGAAATAAACTGCTTTGTCATATTTTGTGACTTGAAAAGGAGAGAGTAAAAATGGGAAGTTTAGATTGGCCAATTTTTTCCCTTTAGTTAGATGATTAACTGTTAGATTTCTGTAGAGCCAAAAGCAAACCCTTGATAGTGAATATTTTTTTCATTCGTGGATTTTTGTATTAAATCAGTTACAGGCTAATTTGTGAATAGTTTGTAAGTGATGTATAGACCTTTGCCATTGATTTAACCTCTATAATTTTATTTCACCTCCTATCTTGATAAATGACATAGTAGAGTTATTTAAATTATTTTTTCCATTATCCAGTTGACTGCATTTCTGGTTTTTATTTTAAAAAATAATATTAGTAAAATAAGCCAGAAATGTTCCCTGTTTTTTCTTTTAATGGATCTCATAAAATTTAGGTAAAAGGGGTACCAGTAGTTAGTGTAATGGCTATGTCGCTGGACTCCCACGTAGTCGACCGCGGTTCGCGTCCCAGACCCAGTGGCTTTAAAACTCACGCCGGGCACGTGTGCATGCGTGCCCAAGATCCCGAGAGGAGAATGGAGGAGAAGGGATTGTGGTGTGGCCATCCCCCCTGGGGGGGGTGATTTCTCGCTTTCTGTCTCTATGTCTCTCTCTCTGTGTCTGGCGAGCGCACGCGCCCTATAGCAAAAACCTCTCCAAAATAAATAAATAAATAATAAAAATAAAATTTAGGTAAAGAATTATTTCTATCCTAACAGGATCTCGGCATCCTGTATTAAGTGAAAAGTGTGTTAAAACCAGTGTCATTACAGCAAGCATTTAATTTCATTATTGTTTATAGGATTTCCTATTTAATGTATATATTTCAGTGAAAGAAAGAATATGTAAGAATGTTTTTGGTGATTTATTTGCTAGACCAGTGCTGTTGCAGAAGCTCAGAAATTGATGGTTCAAGCAGCAGATCTTCTTTCTGCCATTCATAATTCATTGCACCACGGCATCCAGGCCCAGAATGATACTACAAAAGGAGGTAATTATCCATTTTACTCCTACTCTTCCCCCCCCCCATCCTAAATATATAGCGTTTGGTTTGTTCTAAAATTTTACTTAAGTCCGTCTGTCTGGACCTTGGACTGTTTTAATCCAGAGACTTATATAAAGTGTTTAGGCTTCCTTTTTAAATTTATCCTAGACTGAAAATAGTACTGCAGAACTTGGCTGTCTCCTGTGTCTTGCTGTTTGGACTCTGTTTTATTTCCGTGCTGTGATATCAGCAGTAACTTCATTAGAGTTGCTCTTTCTCTACCTCTTTATCTGAGAAATCACCACCTTTATTATGTACTTCAGCCCCGGTGACTTGTCCAAACAGGCCTCTGTGTTCCCTTTGCAGTCATAACATTGTTTTAGTACTTTTTAATATACTTGTTTACCTATTTTTCTTTCCATGAGATTTTGAGTTCTTTTAGGTCAGGGACTATTTTCTCATTTGTGATCATCTTCATTCGTTGGCATGTGGCACTTCGACTTTATTTAGAAAATATGTCTTAAAATAAGTGGTGCCCTGGTAAAATTTGTATCTGTGTTTGCATTTTAGAGCGTGCATAGCAATTTCGATTATTCTAGATACAAATTAAAATGGGGTCTTTTTATTCTTTTTTTTTTAAGAATTATTTAATTTTATTAATTCATTTATTTATTTTAATTTGACTAGAGAGAGGAAGAGAGGCAATGTGAGAAAGCAAACCACCAGGTCCAGGACTCAAACTATGTTGGCCATGTGAGAGTGACCAGTGCCTTTAACCGCCTCACCACATGCTGGTCCCCGAGGTCTTTATATTCTTTAAATTCATGTTTGCCAGTCCTTGGTCTTGTGACAAGGAAGGCCAAGTTTTTACTGACTCATACCCTTTTCCTTTTCTGCCCTTCCCCTCTTAGGGACAGGAGCTGTGGTGTTATCCTTCCCATGAATTTTTTCCTTACTCATACATTAGGTAATGGAACAGTCCAGAAGGTAATTTGAGTTAGGAAATTAGTATTCTAACCTTTATGTTTCTAGTAATTGTGCTGAGTTTATATTAATTATCAACATTATTTCTTTTTCCCCAGGAGGGGGAATGTGTCTTTGAGATGAGTCACTAAGTTGCATTCTATTCCCAGGAGAAATAAACAAAAAGGCTACTATACATAGCAACCTATATAGCTATAATCAGAAAATATGAAATATGAAATGGTCCTAAATGTGAAACTTTTTGAATGCTGACATGATGCCATAAGTGGAAAATTACACTTGACTTCACCTGACAGGTCACACTTGAAATGCTGCAGTAAAAAAATAGTGTATAAAATTAGGTTGTCAAAAAAGACGTAATACATTTTTGCATAGAAAAAAACAACCTTTAGGTTATGTATGTAAAGTGTATGTGAAACATAAATGAATTTTGTGTTTTGACTTGGATCTTGTTGTAAGATATTTTATTATATATATGTAGATATTCTAAAATCCACAGAAAAATTCTAAAATCCACAGAAAAATTCTGAAATGTGAAACATCGCTGGTTCCAAACATTTCACATAAGTGATACTCAACTTGTTCACAAAGAGGTGTAAATATAAAATACTTGGAAATATATTGTAAGAATATTTGTATGAAAGTCCCTGTATAATAATGACTTCAAAATAATTTGCTTGTTGGTTTGTGTATTATAAGATACTAATGATACAAAGCAAAAGTCTACTAAATTACTGGACTCTAGCATTCTTTTTTGCCATGCCTGATTACTGTGGGCTGTTTTGTTTTATATATGTAGTTAGGCAAACTCTGAGGGTAATCATTGCCATAGATCATTAGTAGCTGCAGCTTGTGAATTTCTTATATTTTAGACCAATGCTAAAAAAGAAGAATTGCCTATACATATGCTCTCTGCTATTTCTCTGGTTTTTATAGTCTGCCTTTTAGTGTGATTTATGAGATAGTTTGCATAAAATTGGGTTGGATAAACTTTTTAAAAATAATCTTTTGACAATAGCAAGTAAAACTTAAAATTTAGAGAATACTTACCTTGTGCTTTGGTATTTTGTATAAGGCCATTAGTTGACTTAATTTAACTTTGTTAACTACCTGCTGATCAAAAGCTATATGTTTCTATGATAAAGGAGTGAGTGTCTTCCTAATGTCTATCTAAGAAGTATGGTGATGAAACAATGGCAGAGACTAGTTTTGGTCTTACATTACTATTTTGCTTTTTGATCACTGTTAAAACTCTACCTAGTGGCATCCTGGCTGTGTAAAGCTTGAAATCACTTAGCATTCATTTTAGTTTCTCAATGGAAAAAGTATATATTCAGTAGGGCTTGGAAGCAATAGTGTTAAGGGAGAAAGTAGGAAAAAAAGATCTGGTTTGATCTAAGAATTACGCTCTGGCAGATTTACTCATTGAGTGATGATATTGTAATAGAGGTGCAGAAGGCAGAAGTGATTTGGAAGGGAATTGTCAGCCTCTAAATACGAGACAGAGAGAATGATGTCTATTGTAGAATATGCTTGCCATGGTAAACTATAGCCATGTGCAGTGAGGTAAGGGATCACAAGATTGGTTTCTTCATGATACAGTGTATGTGCACATGACACAGAAAGAAACACCCTTCACAAGGTGTGAGTGTGGTTGTGCTACCATGTCCCTCCTGTGGTTCTCCAGCATGTCAGGATCCTGCGCGTGCATGCATGTACCCAGTATAAGACGTGTGTTTTCTTTCTGTTTTGTTTTGTTGTTTTTAAAGGAGGGATTCTGTGAGTTGTTTTGGGACAGTTAGCTTTTGCTACCAGAATCAGTAACAAGGGTAATGTCAGTGTTAGGTTGGACAGGCAGTGCCTGGGCAGACATGCACACAGAACTAGTCCTTGTATAAGGTTGCAGTATGCAATATAGTCTTTGTGCAAGGTTGTAGTTTTAGCAGTCCTTGTGGTACTTCCTGTTATTAGATGTACCCACATGAGAAACATCTGCTTCACGGCCTTCTCCTTGCTTGGTCTGTTTAGGATTTAATATGAATTGACACAGATGATATGTTTGATTCTGTCAACTTTCACAAAAGGCAACACAGATTTTTTTTTTTTTTTTTTTTTTTTAATCTGGGGCAGGGGAGAATCCCCCAGGGAAATTAAA